AAGCACTTGGCTTAATAAATACACGTAGATTGCTCGCATTAGAAAAATTTACTCCATGATTACCATTTCGGATTGGAAGACGAACAGTCTTAAGTGCTCAAGATGCTGTTAAGGCCCTTCTCAGCCCATTATCTTAACGCTAATAGGGGAGGGGCGCGGCAATGCGAGAATTGAAAAGTTATTGTTTGTAGTTTTGCAATTTATCGTTTAGAAATAGAGTTAACTCTATTGAGGACCGTCTACTAGCATTCGATTAATGGCCCTCAAGGTGTCAATCTAAGATTGCTTCTCAACTTGTCATCCTTATATATGGTATTCCAGGCATACTATACGCTATATATAATATAAATAGCCAATTATGTACATATGTTTTTTTAAATTAATTTCACATTTTATTAAAACTGGAATGTGAACAATTGGCAACAATATGCATTTAAGGATTGATATGCTGTATATTCACTATTGAATGACTTTATTGCTATATTGCATATCGCATTGCCGTATAACAGCAGAAAACGATGTTGTCTTATTCATGAACTGTCCTCAATCCATCCGTTCCTCTCCAGGCCCAAGATCATAGCTCCCGTAGTAAGTCATACTATGAAATCGCTACAGTAGGACGCTACAGGTAATTATTACAAGTCTGTGTAATTTTTATCCGGCCTCAGCGAAACATATACAAATTTATGTTTGTATTTAATTCGAGAGGCATAGAATAATTAATCGCACATTCACTCAAGTATATGTAAATTTCTCTCTTTCTAAGTGTACATATATGTATTTATTGTTTTGTTAGCGGCCGAGAAAAGAGATGAGCATAGATGGGAAAAAATTAAAGCGTTCTAGCAAAAATATAACAGTCTTGCGACGCATCTGGAATAGGTTAACAAAGGGTAACAGAACGATGGAATTTGAAATATTTAATTATTACGGTTCGTAGGCGCTGCATGAGGATAGTGTTTTTCATAGTTTCATCTACGAAGACAAATCAGTTTTATTCCGGACCTGAACGAACAACATATGCATGTAATTGCTTTACGAGTTAAGAATACAAGTCACATAAACGGATCGATAGTCATAGGACATTAGATGGCATGGCTAAATCTACCTAAAATCTTCCATTGAATTGAACTAGACTTGATAAAGTATATGTATGTTGTATGTGTGAGGTGTGCATATAGTCGGATATAATACATATTTAACTGGCGCGAAGTTTCTTTAGATTGATACAAACTTCAATTCCATTAGATTTATTAACAGGCCGTAGGCAGTTGATGTGTGAGTAAGAAATAAACCGCGAGCAAATAAGATTAAACTGAAAGGCGAATCTCTAGATGCGAACGAATTTCGCATTTCATCTTAGCTTCCGTTGGAATTTAAATTCTAGCGAGAGTGAATAATTTCGATTTTATGATTTTTGAACTATATTTTGAAATCAAAAGTCGAAAGTTGACTTTTTTGCTCGCTTTAATGCAATTTGTTTTTCCGATTTTCATAGCTGGACGGCAATATGTGATGTTTGTAAGATCCAAATGATAAGCAATTCGGACAAGCTGTCTCTTAATAATCTTAATAGTAACGCGAACAATGGAGAGAAACAAAATAAAGACAAAACAATTCGTTTATATAACAATTCTATTGGAAAACAAAATAATAAGACAGAAAAGTATGTTTTGCAGATTTCTTTGTGTATTTCTTTTTTCTTTTTTTTTGCATATATTCGATAATACTGTTGCCATAATTAGTTGCTTTTTTTTGTTTTTCCTTTTTTTTTTTTTTCTCTTCTTTCTTTCTATCTTTACAAGGAGATATTTTCCCATAAATATTTCACTTTATAATGAATTTATACAAAGGATTATTGAAAAGAACACATTAAATAGTTTTATATAGTTGGCAGTAGGTAAATAGTGGGAAAGAGTAAAGAAAATTCCGTAGTTTCTAAAGATATAACGATAAAAAGGACTTCCGTACCGACTACAGACTACTTGCACCGTATTTCGGGCTAATATGTAACAAAAAACTAAGCCTATCAGATAATGATGTTTGCAAAAACCATTTAATCCGGGCGCCATGTATGGGTCTATAAAGGCGCATGAGTAAAACGTTTCTAAGAGCATGACATGTACAGAGATGGTACAAAATGCTGCTTGAAGTGATCATTGTAAGTGATACACATCTATAACTTTGCTGATCATTTCCCATTATCTCGTTTTAATCGTTCTTGATAAAGCAGTCGCCCCCATATCCAAATAATGATATCACAGCGGACTTTCTTCATAATCTTATTGAGACTTTTTTAAATGCTATCGATGCTGGCGCTGGTGCTGTTGCTGTTGCTGCTGTTGCTGCTATAAACCAAACTAACGTAACCAGATCTTCTTTTATACCATTATATCTTTTGACTACAGAATTTATTTCCTTACGGACGTAGATTAAAAAACAGAAAAAAAAAAAAAACAATTTTAAAGGGGCAGTGCTCATGTTATATATAAATGCAATATAAATTATATATAATACTTAAAAAAAGCAAAATAAAATTATTCTTTTCAATCCATCACCCACAGCCGATAACAATGTAACGTTAAATATTGATTACGATGAAAATGTAAAATTTAAGCGAGCATATGTGCATCTTCAAGTTCCTTCTCCGAGGTATAAGTTGCAAAATTTTAACTGGTAAGACCTATTCTTACTATCTAATACGATTGTAGATCTCCTCTACCGATCACTTACAATTGATTGATTGATTGATTCGGTAGATCTAAGGCAATCCCTAATACTGGCTTAATAAATTTATATGCATATATATAGTCGGCTTGTCTTGCATTTTCGTTGAGTTGTTTCATAATTCTTAACATCTCTGTTGATCTTTCTCGCCAGTTGTGTACATAGCGCTTGCCATCGCTCTGCTTCTTCTTGCTTGATCTCGTTTCACGTTTGTTTCATATACCAATCTATGAAAGTGAGTCCAATACAAAAGCTGAAGGGATCTCGAGAAAATGCAATATATGTACACGACATCTGTAATTGAATGAAGGGAGAAAGTTACTCGCGATCAGAAGTTTCCTTCTAAATATATAATGAATTTATCTGCTCCTTGTTCCTGTGCTATAAACCATTCGTGGAATTTTTCTTTATCTACGAATTTCTTGGTTAGGGTGTCGTTGCTGAATCTTAAATTGCTTTCACCTAATATGCAAAGGACCAATAGAGAGAATTAAAAACGAAAATGTTTAATCGAGTTGACCAAGTATTTCAAGGGATAATGAGCACGTCGCCGCGATATAGTCCTCCGGAGCGGAGCATTCCTTTAATCCCGAGATGCAACTGCTAATAACTGCTGTAATAATTTCGCCATTGTTCGAGCAATGCAAAACACTTTTTTTGCATAATGATAATGCAATGAATTTATGCTTTCCTATAATTGTATATATGCATACAAGCATGATGAAAATTTTCAAAGCTTCAAGAACTTATGAAACAACCCAAACAATAAAAATATCTATAAAAGTAATTAATGGAGTGCATTCAATTAGAAGATAGATGCATTGATTGAGTTTCGTTACAAAGAAATATCAGCCATAGGTGATGGGCGTTGTCCTAAGGGTAAACCTAAACATGTGTTTTATCCATATTCTTAAAAATTTATTTGCTTTCAATGATAAATAATTTTTTTCTTAGTCGTTTTATTTTTATTTCAGATTTTTCGAATATTTTCCGTTGATATTTACTTTTGTC